CCTGAGTAATGGGTAGATACCGGAAACCAGAGCAGTGCTGGAGGCCCATCTCCCGGGGCCATCTGTGGATGTGTGGCCTTGCTGGCACTTTGATTTTGTACTTCAGAACTATAAGAAGCCAACATGCTCGTGTTTTAGCCACTTCATTGTTGACAGTTTGTTGTGGCAGCCCTAGGAAAGGGTACTGATTTAGTTTTCAGATTTTATATTAATTTGTTAAGTCTACCATAACAAATGATCCACTTAGCTTAAAACAACAGCAATTTATTTTCTCACAGATCTGGAGCCCAGAAGTTGAAATGAAGGCATTGGCAGGGCCATGCTCCCTGGAGACTCTGGAAGGATCTGTTCCATGGCTCGTCTAGCTCCTGGTGGCATTTGGCATTCCTTGGCTTTCTGGGCACGGCTCAACCACAGCCCTCTTGGCCTCTGTCTTCATCTTCTCTCTGGGTGTCTTCCCCTCTGTGTGTCTGTGTTTGAGTAAAGTGCTGACCTTCCATGATGGAACTGGCTCGAATGAATCAGCCTGCTATCTGGTTGACCACCCCAGGAGAATGCAGCCATATTGGAGCTTGGGTTGATTTCTGCTGTTGGCAGATTAGACAGGCAACAGGGGAGGAGGGCAGGGCAGCCTAGCAGAACAGAACTCCATGTTTCTGAGCTCATCCATACATCTTTACCATGGTGGTCACTTGCCTCATGAGCTTTTGGACAGTGACAGGAGTAGGTAGGGGAAGAGGTTAATGGGAACTTATAGAATGGGCCCTCATTCTTGATTTTTGTGTTGGTTAGTTTTGGTCAACTTGACACAAGCTAGGCTCACCTGGGAAGAGAGAATGTCAATAGAAGAATTGCCTCCATCAGATTGGCCTGTGGAGACATTTTCCTGATTGCTAATTGATGTAAGACGGCCTAGCCTACTAAGGGCAGTGCCATCCCTTGGCAGGTGGGCCTGGCTCTATAACAAAGGTAGTAGAGCAAGTCAAGGGGCACAGCCAGTAAGAAGCACTTCCCCAAGGCCTCTGCTTCAGCTCCTGCCTCCAGGTTCCTGCCTTGAGTACCTGCCCTGACTTCTTCTAGTGAAGTAAACTTCCTAGAGTTGTAAGCTGAAATAAACCCTTTCTCCTTAGGTTGATTTTGGTCATGGTTTTATTCCAGCAACAGAGACCTAATTAGGACAGAAGCCCATGGCTTACTCTGCTCATTCCTAGTGCTCACCACTCTCCTGTGGCTCTCTCCTGATTTTTTTGTGAGCTGCTAATTATGTTTGCCACACCTGGGCAATTAAGAACTAATTACTTTTAAATGGCTAAGTAGTATTCCATAATTTGTTTTCTTGCATTGCTTTGTCTAACTGGTTCTTTACTGCTGGATACGATTATTTTAAAAATTTCACTTTAAGTAAATGTACCACAAGACACATCTAGATGCATGCACCTCTTCCAATTTTATTAACTTATTTATTAACTAGTTAATTTATTGTGCTAGCGTTGGAATCCATGACTTCATGAAGCATCCTAGGCAAATGCTTGGCCACTGAGCTGTGCCTCAACCTCTTATCTACCAGTTAAAAACTTATTTCTTTAAAAATAAGTACAAGCAGTGGGGCAGACAAACAATTAAGAATGGATGTCATTAGCAATTTACAGATAATCTTTGAGGGCAATGGGTGTGTGTCCCTGTTTGCACATTGCTTGTTTCATGGTAGTACTCAACATGAGTTGTGTGACAGTGGGAATTTCAATGGAAGTGTATGGAAGATGCTTTGTCATGGCCCTGGATAATAATGGGGTGTCTGTACCATCCTCCGTCCTCCTTATCTTGGTCAGAGGTACTACTGTGCATTATTCCTGACTGCTTTCTCAGAGCTCCAGCCTTTCCTACTGGTTGAAACTGAGCATAGCCTGGTGGCTTATATAGTAGCATGCTTTGGTCAGACAGGAGATGGTCACTTCTGCATGGGGATTCTCATGTGGTCCCTGTCTAGTATTGGTAGGAGTTTTGTCATATGACGAATCGATAGAGGCCTGAGGTTCTGCTGCAAGTGACTTACTCATGAGACTACCACATGGTGCAGGCTATTGATGGTAGTCACTGGTTCCTCCACACAGAGTTATGAGGACCCGTGAAGGTCTTCAGAACATAGTGCTGCCAGACTCTCCATGAATAATCAGTCCAAGAGAGCCGGGTGAAGAGTGTCAGCATCATTGTCAGCCCCATGGTGGACATGGCTGGTGGGATTGTATTGATTGCCTTGACTGGGACTGCTCAGGAACTGCACAGGGCTGCAAGGGCAGAAGGCAAGGCCCCCTGGGGTCTGTGTGGAGACTGACTCCCACAGCGTCTCCCTTCCATTCTTCACCCCAATTGCATGTTTTGTTCATTAGCAACATTTCACAAACTGAACATCTCTATTTCTAGTCTCTACCCAGTTTAGGATGCTATTAGCTAATAGCCCCTGATAGCTTTTCACCTGGTTAATTCTTTGCTGGGCCTCAAGGATCTGTTTATCTCTCTCTTTAGTGTATAAGATTCCTTCAAGTATCCCATTCTTCCCTGAATTCCCAGAGTGAGCATGCAGGGATGGACCTTTGCTCTTGACTCAGTGGGGGGTCTTTTTTTCCTGATTTTTTTATATTTATTTTTTATTAGTTCAAATTAGGAACAAGCTTGCTTCACATGTCAATCCCTTCTCCCTCTCCCTTCCTTCCTCCCCAACCCCCTATCAGCCCCCCACCCTATCCCCCCTCCACTCCCCAGGGAGGGTAGGGCCCTCCATGGGGGCTCTCCAAAGTCCACCACATCATCCTGGGCCAGGCCGGGGCCCTGCCCCATGTGTCCAGGCAAAGAGAGCATTGCTTAGAGTCCTTCTTGTTTCCTAGTTCCTTTGGTGACAAGGATTGTAGACTGGTAATCCTTTGCTCTATGTCTAAAATTCATATATGAGTGAGTACATACCATGTTTGTCTTTTTGTGACTGGGTTACCTCACTCAGGTTTTTTCTAGTTCCATCCATTTGCCTTCGAATTTCAATATTCTCAGTGGGGGTCTTTTAATTCTCATTTTAAAGTTGATTAATATGTTAGTTATATATTATGTATTTAATTGTGGCATTTCCACACATGTATATAATATATTTTGATTATATGTGCCCTTTCCCATTACCCTCATAATGACTTCTTGCCACAGCTCTGTTCAGTGTGGGGAAGAGAAGATTTCCCAACATCCTCTGTCAGTGCAGCTAGCTGCCTTGGGTGTGGCTTTTATTACCCTTCCTCAATGTTCTTAAATGTTCTGTCACTGAAAACACAGTGTGAGTTTGATGAGGCTCTCTCCTTGTCTTAAACTGATTCAAACCCTGCTCTTGTCCTCACTAGCCCTAAGAGGAGGGAGCACGCAGGGCTGAGCCCTCTAGTGTGTACTCTGGGCTCTTTCACCTGTTCTGCTTCCCTAAATTTTCTTTCTTTCTTTCTTTCTTTCTTTCTTTCTTTCTTTCTTTCTTACTTTCTTTCTTTCTTTCTTTCTTTGCTACTTAGATTAGTGTTTTTCTTCTTTTACCCTTCTATTAGGATAGCTGATGTCCAAGTATCCCTACCCCCATGGGGACAGTCTGGCAGTCCATGTGTCCTATTGTCATTTTTGTTGCTGTGATAAAATGGCCCAACAAAAACAATGTACAATTCCAGGCTATAGTCCATTGTTGTTAGGAAGTTGAGCCAGAAATTTCAAACAGATAGTCATGTCACACCCACCATCAAAAACAGAGAGAAATGAATACATATGTGCTTGTTTACTTCTGTTCACCTTGGTTTCTCCACTCATACACAGTTAAGGATATTGCCTAGGGAATGGGGCTGCCCACAGTGGACCGAGCCTCCCCATATCCATTAATTGAGACAGCCTCCCTCCCCACAGGCATGTACACAGGTAAATTCAATGTAGACAACACTCTATTGAGACTTTCTAGGTGGTTCTAGGTTGACAAAGGTAACCATCACACCATTATGGGTATCATCTTCCATTTCCTCCTTTCCCAGTGTATTTTTCATACAGAACTTGTTCACTAGTTTTAATATTAACCAATTCACAGATATTTACTACACACTTACTGTCTGGAAGGTTTATTCTGGGTTATTTAGAAACAGTGAAATAAATAGTTCTTGGGGGTTATACACGTGGGTAAATAAATAATATGGAAAGTATTAGGTGATAAGATAGGAGACAAGAAACATTATCAAGATAAATAGAAAACAATTCAAGGCAGGGACTGTGAGTACTGCTTTTCATAGGGCTGTCATAGTTTCTATCTGTCACATTGGGGTAGAAACCCAAAGGTGTGGCCTCAAGAGTGAGATGTGACCAGTCACATTGAATGTGCAGTCGGGAAGCAGAGAGTTATGTATGCTGCCACTGTTGGCTTTCTTCTTTCTATCTGGTCCAAGACCACAGCCCATAGAATGGTACAGACATTTAAGGCAGGTCTTCCTCCCTCCCTCAGTTAACCTATCTAGATCATCCCTGGAGATGTGCCTGGAGATTTGTTTCCATGGTGATTATAAATCACATCAATACAGCAATCAAGATTAAGTATCACACAGAAGAAGCAAGAGAAGTAGGAATCAGTTCTCTTCTTATCCTTTGTCATTTCTAACACCTTCATCTTTACAGTTTCTGAGTCAGAACTGAACTAAGAATTTATGTGGGCTCAGCAAACTTGTAGGTCATCAAAAGTAGATATTACAAACTATCAGAGATGAGTGGTCCTTAAGTACTTACCAGTCACTAGTGGAAAACTAGATATGAGCAGCCCAAGTGGGCTTGGAGACTTTGGGCAGAACAAACAATATTAGAACACTTTTATTCAGCTTTCCTGACATAAAACCTGCTCAATCCCTTTGGATAGGAGATTGGTTACCTCTTAAAAGATCCTGGGGTACTTTCCTGTTGAGATGCCTTAAGTTCCATGAACCTCAAACTGATTTTTTTCCTGGATGGTTTAGATTGGACGACTGATTATTGGACAGAATGGCATCTTGTCAACACCTGCAGTCTCCTGCATTATTAGGAAGATCAAGGCAGCTGGTGGAATCATCCTCACGGCCAGCCACTGTCCCGGAGGACCAGGGGGAGAGTTTGGAGTGAAGTTTAATGTTGCAAATGGAGGTATGTGGTTCTGGCTATGGCTTACATGATTTCTTTCCTCATGTATCATCATACTCTGCGATGGTTAAGAGGCAAAGTGAAGAGAAATCAGCTCAGAAAAATTCGGTGGGGTGCCCAAGGTGATGTGATCCCAAGGAAGTAACATATGGTCTCTCAGATGTTCAGAGCTGGTCTACTGATCTCCTCTGTGCTTCAGCCAAGTGAAAGACTGGATAGTTGATATGTAACCAATACAGGAGGACTCTGAATTTTAAAGTTAGAACAGACCCCGAAGGCTGTTTAAAACATCCTCTCATTTTCCAAAGAAACCAATGGAAGCTCCAGGACACTGAGTTACACGTCACAAGGCTGCTTAGAGACAGTTAAATGATTTT